GTTCATACTCAAACTTTTTAATCTTCCTAACGAAAGTTGTGTACGCTTATGTGAACGTAAAAAACACCCTTATAAATTTTAATAGCAGTGACAAAGGATAAAAAACGCTTTTGAAAAATATCTGAACTATAATAGAAAGAAGAACATCAATTGCGCACACTAGAAATACTAAACGGTGCTCCCCATCTCACTGTTCTGGAAAATGACTTGATTTAATTTATAAAAAAACGGGCATGTGCTGTTCACTTGCGATAGAAAATGACTACGACTTAAAGAGAACAGCTCTGTTAAAATCCAACTCTCGCCCAATGACTTAGGGTAGGCATTGATGATTCAGTCGATTAGAGGCTCAAGCACGAACTTTGAGAGATCAGTAATTGTGTCATCATCGTCAAATTTTGTATGGAAGGAGCCAGTTGGTTCTTACGTCCAGTAGGGGCGCAGCTAAGTTTTCAAAGAAACTTTGACGATGCGATACCATTACGGAGCTGTCAAAGTTATTACTTGCGCTCTGGCCTTCTCTCTTAATATTTATAAAGAATCCTACTAACTAATTTGGCGGCTCCATCGGTTTTTTATTTTATTTATTACCTAGCCATATTTTTTCTTTAGCTTAGGTTTTAATTATTTTTATCGAAATATTTATTCACTAAAATTACTGTAACATTTTCAAACATAGGGAAGGTAAGAATTAAGTATTGTTTAGAAAACCGGCCAATTGCGAGTTGTACTCGCGCACAAAGGCTTCCGTGCTATTATTTATGCAACATTAGACACTATTATAATATCGACAAAAAAACGGGAAATAAGTCATGTCTGTTGTATGGAAGGTCTCAGTCCCCCTCGAATATTTATTTTAATCTTATTCAATTATTAATTTTTGAAGAGAATATACAACGAAATATTCTGTGAATATTTGAAGCGTCTACTTGTTGTAGTTATTAATATAGAGCACGAGCATTAAATGGCAAAATACTCACATTTGCTTGTACGAGAGCTCCCCTTTTAGTATTTGTTGTTATAGCGGCATCAGAAATACATCATCTGTGAAAATTTCAACTGTCTAGCTACCACGGTTCATGAGATACAGCCTACAGACAGACAGATAGGCGGACAGCGAAGTCTTAGTAATAGGGTCCCGTTTTATCCTTTGGGTACAGAACCCTAAAAACCAGAGTCGATTTAATAAATTTCTTTTGTTATCTTTTTTCATTTTCTTAGGTTTTATTTATTTTTCTAAATATTTATTCATTAAAAATTACTGTAACAAAATATGAAAACATAAAGGTAAGACTTGTTTAAAAATAACACCTTGCACCTTGTGAAGTAATAACACCCTACCTTAGCCTTCTATGTATGGCCGAACGTCTAGGGTAGAAAAAAAAACAGCCATGACTTATGGTCGTGTCCAAATCGTCAGTCTTTTTAATAGACGCTACTGGAGGGTTAATGTAACGGTTTGGAGGTCAGAAAAAATATTGATCTGCCGGTTTGCATAGTATGGAGGTGGCCGTACGAAGAGGTAGAATATAGAAAGAAAAAAAAATGAAAGCGTGTCAGACATGAAGAAGGTGTCTTACTTGAACCCTCTAGTAGCTCCTATTCAAATGACTGACGATTTGGATGCGACCAAAATTCATGGCTGTTTGTTGATATTTTTTGCTGCCCAAGACGTTCGGTCGGAATTTGGTGGGAGTACTTCACAAGGTGCAAGGTTGCCCCCCTTATGTTAATCTTCCGAGCTCGAGTAAATCCACAATTCCGCGCTTGAAATCCCGGAGCGGACTCGAGTTGTTGAAAAATAGGTATTTGAAAAAACTTTTTCTGACGCGCATTGCCAAATACCGTGCGATAGGGACAACAATAGCTAAAGCTGAAAATTGCGAATGAAAATTGCAAAATTCGAGGCTTGGCTCTCGATGATATACTCTTTAAAATTAGATATATGTAAAAGAAATTTCACCAATAGAATTATAACTATTTATAATCCTATACGTTTTTCTTTTTTGTAAATGCTAATTGAAACCGCACACTAGACATCGTTAGTGGTGATGAAAATTTGTGTTTTTGAGGGCTTCTAGTTGCTTTGAAACACAAGTTATCGAAAAAAGGAAGACGTAGGAGCATAGAATGAGTAAAATTATATTTTATTTGTGAAACTCATTTCTTTAGTGATAAAATCAAGGAGGAATCATTCGAGAACGTTTGTATGGAATAAACATTGCCCGCCTCCCTCTTAAGGTGATTTCATCAAAACAATTCACAACGGCGTATTCAGTCTTCAATAAGCTTTTAAGTTTTAATGAAAGTTGGTATTGTCACTTATTTTACGATGACAATAGTAGCAAATCTTATGCCTCTGAGGGCATCCTTAAAAGATAAATATTTATATCTTATTTTATTTACATTTTAGTGCTCGCAGCTCTATCCAAATAAAACTGGAGTAGATTTTTTTTTACTACAGGTAAATTGCATTGCCACCAAAATCAAAATTTACGAGTACTTTCTTACAGTTCAAGAAATTACTTTAAAGTGATACAGCCGCTTGTAAGATACAAACATTACTTCATTATACAAAATAAGACGTTCATATAGTCAATATATTTATATAAACAGTACTATTGTGATGGTTTAATAATCACAATAGTCCACAATAATATATTGTGGAATTATTGTAGTTAAATACTGTTTATATAAATATATTGACTGTATGAGCGTATGAACGTCTTATTTTATATAATAACTAGCTGAGCCAGCGAACTTCGTATCACCATAAAAATATGGGTGGTAGGAGGGTGAAAATTTAGGGTTGTATGTATTTTTGTATGATGTATCATAAAAAATAAAACTTTTGTCCAAAAAAAATTAAGTGTGGACCACCCTTAACATTTAGATGTCCGGTTCTCAGACCTACTGAATATGCATATAAAATTTCACGAAAATCAGTCGAGCCGTTTCGGAGGAGTTCAATTACGCACACCGTGACACGAGAATTTTATATATTAGATGAAAAGTTTGTATCTTACAAACGGCTGTAGCTATTATCAATATAAAATAATTTCTTGAACATTAAAAAAAGTAAAATTTGATTCTACTAGCAATCCAATTTATTTTTGTGATATATTTAACTTCTACTCCAGTTCAATTTGGATGGAACTAGTGAGCACTCAAAATGTAAATAAAATAAGAAATAAATATTGTATATGTTGTGGTACTATGATAAATAAATACAACTACAGTTTTTAAGGTAATTTTTTAATTAAAAAACAATAGTCTACAGATATTTATTAAGTAACGTCCACTGGAGAATGAGTACCTAGCATATAAATCCGCGTGTACCACTGTACTATTTCCTTTTTATGGATATTACATTATTATCAACTGAACATAAATGTATGTACTGGAGTATTTATTATTGTTATTTATACATTTAGAAAGTATGGCACTCAAAGAAAGAAAGATAAAACATTTTTGTACTACCTGAAATTGATTTCGGATTCCTGACCCACTTATCAGATAGCTCAGTTTAAATTGTCAAGACAGCTAAGTTTTCTCCTGAATGGAATGGATAATTACACTTAGCGGCTTTTAGTAATAAGAAAACTGTTTTATTGATTATAAAATCTTGAAGTCAGACCACAATGGTTGCGATGACGGGGTAAAGTAAACGAAATTATATAAAGGCTATCAGTTATCAAAAAACAATGTACACACTTTTTCTTTTGTCAACCAACCAAAAAATCAGAAAGATAAAGCGCGTCAAAGTTGTGACGTCGAGTCAAAGTTGAGTAGTCGAGGGAGTGGGGGCTTGTGACGTCTCTTCTAAGTAAAAATTGTACCCAGACGTGACGTCATGCGCCATTTCAATCAATATATCTGTAATGTTTTGACTATGTGAAAAAAATACGTGTCCAGTACTTTTTGATAAGTAATTTACCTGATAGACGAAGAAAATAAAGTTAGTCATCATCCCTATTAGACCTTTGATAACGATGCTGTTGTAGATTTATCTATTAAACTAGCACTTCCTATCAATAAACATCTATTCATGTTTGTTACTATTATGATAGCAGTATACCCTTATCATGCTATGGGAAATGAAAAGGAGAGACTGCAGCCATATTTACAAATAGCATTACAAATAGCCATGCCAGCATTGAATACCATTAGAATCATGGTTTTGAATTTTAAAAACAGCTTTACCCACCTAGGCATTCTAAAGACTTTCTTTATATTAGGAAAAAATATATAAATATAAAAATTAAAGAAACGTCTACCTTATGTCACGGAGAAGCACGTCACGATATACATGACTGTTCAAAAAATAACTATTTTATTTCAAGTGATACGCACAGGTCTGCGGAATTCGACCTTATTCATTTTTTTTATTGCAATATTTTATATTTATAGGAAAGTAAGCAATTCCTGGGTCAGAAATCAAAATGAGCTGCATAATAGTACATAGTGTGGCAAAGCCCACATAACCACCATTAAGTCAAATTTATATTAGACTAAGGATGATTGCCGAAATAAAATAAATTGAAAATACTAAAAGAGGTTTAACGTGAGGTTTACTTGCGATGAGTTCATATTTGTACATAACCATAAAATACATGATTGAACACAAAGTGGCTTTTTAGTCTTTTTATTATTACCATTCGAAATTTGCTCAAACGAACTCATTTAGACACATAACATTTTAAAGATAACAATGTTCGTGATAGTAGGTAATCATTAAATTCTTTTCCTACATATAACAATATAAAATCTAATTTTGCTATACTTACATTTAATAGCTGCAAAATAACCCTGTATTTGACAACACAAAGTAATACAGGGTAGCACCTCCCGAGTAAGTGACCAATCAAAATCAAGCTATCTGTTCTGTACTGTACTGTGCTATTTAATATTTCGATTTATAATAATAGGGAGTATAATCTAGGCTGTAGTAAATTAACCCGTACCCGGCATGTGTTACTGCGCTAAAAAAAATACATTTAGCAAAATAAAATCTTGAAATATAAGCCTTTTACGGGGTTGAAATTTTTACTGTTCCCAGTAGTCTTTAAGTATTGTATAACACCTCGATCACCTGGAGCTATAGTAAGGCTAGTTGACTCATGTCAAATTGTACGATACAAATGTTTATTTGTTATAGTTTTTGGTATGAGCAACCTAAGTATATCGATTTCACTTCATAAAATTAAAAGTGGGCTGTAGTAATTTTATTTAAAAAAAAGGTTTTTAATTTATTACTTTTTAAACACGAAAAACCCTGCCGGCCATGATTTTGATATCACTAAATTTGTAAACAACTAAACGTCATTGTCGTGTTACTGTGGATTCTTTCGTCAGACTAAAATATATCTAAAAACTCTTATATCTTGTAGTACAGTTTCCGTGTATTGGTTTTGTTGACTAAATTAATGCTGGACTGTTTTGTCATTTCTGCTTTCAGAAACTCTTAACTTAGTAGGTATATTAAGAACCCTTAAAATTGTATTTTTAAAATTTAAATAATTTTCAATAAGTTGTTACATCGAAGTGATCTTTGCAAAAAGAAATGACTTTCAGTCCATAAAGTTACAGGATTTAGCAAGTTTTAAACATAATTATGTTCATGTGTAGGTATGTTTATTTCTCTAGGCAATTAAAAGCACAACTTTCCTGGAGTCTTTAACGATGTGTTACTTCATTCTCGTATAATACAATCATGATAATTACTATATTTTTCATGTAATCTATTAGAAATCACGGTTTAATAATATAAACTCAAGCTATTTCCTATGTGCTTGCGAGTGTTTGTTTACAAATGTTTTGACGTCGTAGCATAGATAAATCTATAGACTAAAATGGCCAACAGCGTTTTTGTATGCGAAATATTGGACTTTAAAGCTAATTTTTGTTCGAGTAGGGCGTTCCCCCCTCTAAAAGCTAATCTAATGGCTTGAAAATCCTGGAAAAGATCATGATAATGGTGCTTTTCATGAACTTTTAAGCAAAATTATAACGGTTAAGCAAGATTTATTAGTATAAAAGTGAAATATAGTCGTTCAACTATGGATAAAAAAAATACTTTATGAAAATTCCTTAAAAGAAAACATTAATAGTGACAAAGATGAAGTTATTGTAGCGGTGAAACTTGCATTGCAAAAACCTTAAAAAAAAAACTATTTAAAACCCGCAATATAATATCATTAGTTCCACAACTCTACCGCGAGTACCAGCGGCAACGGCTTCTGAGTCGTGCTAACGTTACGTTTTTATAAAAAAAGATGTTTCTTTTAATGTCATAAAAGATGATGATGAATAAGCTATTATGTGTTGCACTGCACTATGTGCGGCTATGTTTTACTTCAAACCTGAGCATAGTACAGCATAACACAGCTTAACGTGTATTGGTCGCCCTTATTGGAGAAAAGGCCGCAAGCACACATAGACTCACGAATGTGCAAGGATCTCGAATAGTTTTGGTAAAAAATCCTTATTTTGATAACTTTATTTTCTCTGCGTGCGTGTGCCCGATTCACTTATTACTATGGAGATTAACTTCTTTGTATTTATTTTATTATTTGAATTTTACAATGATAAATTTAATAAGAAAATGGCATATTAATTTGTACTTACTTTATTATGTAAATATTTACTGACTGACACTGACTAGGGCGACTGTTTAAAAATTTATTATAATTATAATCCCATTAAAAATATTATGAAAAGATACCCTCCATTTAGTTAAACCAAATCTGCTGCCTTAACAACCTGTAAAACTTGTTTTAAATGAAATATGCTCAGCATATATTTTATGATTAAAAATTATAGCTAGATATAAAAATAGGGTCATATATTAATGCTCCTAAAAAAATACTAAATGCCCACCAATACGAATCTCCAACCTAATCTAACCTTTAGGTTTGCAATTGTATTTTTTGGTGTACATTTAATATTTTTTGAGGACCGTTTAAATATTTTCTATGAAAATATAATATTTAAATATTAATCAATCGTGATTTTATTACCACTCTGCTCTGTATAACAAATAGACTATCTAAGATTTTCGAGTTCTTAAGTACTTGTGTTTATGAATGTGAAACAATGTTATAATTATCTTTCCCGTAAAATTTAACTTACTGTTTAACTTATTCAGCTATCTTGGTCAACAAATCAGCCTTGCTCTTCAACGTGGCAATGCTGCCAGCCTATTGAGCACCATTCCTGACGGCGGCGCTGGGCATGACATATTTTTCATTTTGTAAATTAAATTTTATTCGTAAGTAGCTTAGGGTAATTTGTATTCAAATTTTATACAATAGGTGGTTTATAGGTTATTGTAATACATCTATAACTTATTGTTAACTAACTTATTAACGATTTGGCTGTCTGAACAATCTTAATCTACTATTAACAATGCTGAATTTTCGTCTCAATCATAATCTTATAATTAGATGTCTACTAACGAACGATGTAGTGATTAAGTAAAGAAATTTAAAATTATTGATTTGCAATATTGTACTATTAAAACTAGTATACAATAGCTTCACCAAAACAGAGAATGTGAAAAATGAGGTCGCAACGAAGCCTAATATTATAGTAAACAAAACTCACAGAATTTTTATATGAAAATATGATTTCTCTCGACTAACGCTTTTGAATGTTTTCTTCAGAGTGAATCGCGCGATCACGTTTAGACAAAAATGATGTTATTAAAATTGAGTACCCTACTTTAATCACCATCTTGTAGTAAAGCTTTAATTATTTATGACACCAGAGTCACTAGACGCCTCTTGGGTGTGAGAAATATAATGGTTTCATGTTTACAATTTGCGATGTCAATTATAATATCAGTGTATATATATCATCCATCGCTCTGGTCTCTTTTGTTAAGTTTGATAGACTCGGGTTGTACAGGGATCTCCTCTTTGATAAGGAGTCCATGTTTCCAATCGTCTGGGTAGCCGAACTGCCTGACGTCATCCCACCATTGCTGCTTGCCGTCAGCCCAGATGATATAAACAACATTGGTGCCCACCAAAACGGCGAAGCACACCCAGAACGCTGCTCGCCATTCAGATAGCGTCGACTGAAACAAATAAATAATAAGCACTTAGTGATTATGAGCTCTGTGATGTTGAAAGAACGAGAATTACTGCTCACAAAAGGCTTTCCTTTGAATCGAATTTTACTTTAGATTTTGAAAATAACTTTTTAAATAAGCTGAGAATTCCATACAACAATATTTTGATGTTTGTTCAAGATATTAAATAATAAAGTGTACTAGTTGACAATATGTATAGATCGCTTTACGTTATTTTATAATTCGACAAATCAGAAATTAGTATCAAATCAAATAAGTCTAAGTGTTTAAAAGATCTGTACTAAACTAATGCATCGGATCCTGTTACCTTAAAGGTCACATTTTATTTGCCTATATTTGCCTCATTCTATTTACTGGGCGAACCTTAATCCTGCCGAAGAGTAATTCATTACATTACGAACCAAAAGAGGGTTGAAGAAATTAGAACCGAATCATTGTTTGTGCGCTATGAATCATTTATTATTATTGACTTTGTTGTTCCGAAAGAAAGCCATTTAAATGTATTAATATTAAAATCTTGAGATGATAAAACAAAAAGAAAATTCTCTTGAACATGAAATCGCATGAAAATGATTATTTTTCGAATTTATTATTTATTATGCTCATACTTTATTTTCATTTCATTTCATCCAGACTTTGCCTTTCTTTATATATAACCTCATTATTATTTTTTGAGCCCTAAATATATCCCATGAAAGAAATATCAGTACACATTGTTAACAATTATAGTGGGAATAGTCTGGAACATGAACATGCACTTACTAAGATCACAGTCAAATACCACTACGTCAGTCAAAATACACCTTTTGATGGTGTTTTGCTCTTGTCGGTGAGTAAGATTCCAGAGCTCCCCGAAGTAGGGGATTGGATCAGGAAACGCAACATCGCGAGTTAAGTTCCGTATCAGAAGCGTTTATAGGCTATATTGATCGCCGCTTACCACCAGGCGGACTATATGCTTGTTTGCCGTGATCCCATCGTTATTTGCTACTGGTAGATTCAAAGGTATTTCCCCCGTAAACCTTTAAGTGGCTACCCTTTATGTATTTCCAAAGATGAAAAACGGTGGGACCACGATTAAAGGCGTTTTGTTTCAACTATCCGTAAACCCGCTGAAGAGCAGTGGATCTACGGGGAAAGAAATTACCTTTGGGCCCATCAGTGGGAAATAGTGATGAGACCACGATTAAAAGGCAAAAAATGCACTCACATTAGGAGTCATTAGTCCAATCAAGTAAGGTGTGGCTATCCCGGCGAACGTGGAGGTAGTATTCACTAATGATGTCAGACTACCTGCGTAGTTCGGCGCCAAATCCAGTGCGTTCACCTGTAAAGTAAGAACATTAAATAAATAAATATTTTCAACACTCACACCAATTAGCCTAGCCCCAGAGTAAGCACTATAAGGCTTGTGTTATGGTATACGAGGGTAACGGATAGAATACATACACTGGAAATATATAAGTATATTTTTTATAGAAATACATATTAAACATCCATGACTGGAGTACAAATGCTCGTATCCATCGCACAAACATCTGCCGCCATCGGGATTAGAACCCGGGACCTCTCGAGTCGGCGACACCATGAAATCCGGCGTACAAACCGGACGACCTCCGTGGCACTCGGCCACGGAGGTCGTCAAAAACAGTTAAGTTAAACATTATAGTTTATCTCACTCCCATAGGACACAGGTGTCTCATGAATGTGTTGACTCGAAAACTTAACGGGCCATTTGGCGATAATGTAATCCAATAATTTATTGAGAGTTCTATAAATGTCCACTTTCATTTGTTAATACTCTATTTCTTTACAGAATACAATAGTTTGGAATGCCTATTCTTATGCCTTATTCCAACCCATAAAACGAGAAAATGTTTCGTATGCAAGCCAAAAGAAATTCATGCCACGCCAACAAAGACACATTTGCTGTTATTAGTTGTTCAGGATTAATATTTGCTAATAGTAACAATAATAACCATCTCTACTATTTAGTACTTTATAGTAAAAATATTAATTACTTTTGCTGTATAATTTTTTATCATTGGTTGGTTATGTTTACAGTTATGGTTAATAGTACAACTCAAATAATTTTACGTACCTTCATACCACTGTAAAAGCCGCCCATTAGAGCCATGGACACCACAAAATATACCATTGCAGCAGTTCGGTCGCAGCCTGCATATGACGCCAATATAATACAAATCGCTGGTCCAGTAGCAGCTGAAATCAATGGAATAAGTTAATAAAACTTAGTTATATATTTTTTTTAAGCATTTAACATGTAGATGTTCAAATCCAAAGAATTTTTTACTGGAAAAAAATCCACGCGGATCAGGCGGCAGACGGGAATCGAACCCTCCGCTATCTGGACGGATGCACTGACCATTATGCGGACCTAATTAAATAAAAGGCAACGCCATCTCTTTGCAAAAATTGGTTGTCTGTAAAGTCTGTTTATGGACGATAATTTTACATGATAACGTGTCGTTCGCTGTTTTCCTTGAAGCAGTTTTATGTGGCTTTTTGTTGCAGTTCTTTTGTATAATAATACAGCCTTCAAATACAGTGAAAACTCTTCAAGAATACAGGGCGTCCCACGGCTACCTCACACGGAGGGAAAGTATATTAAATATTAAAGATAGCATATTTTACTGAAAGAAGACATCATTTCATTTTTGCTAATATCTAGAACTGCATTCACAGATTTTTTAAAAATCGACTGCCACAACTGGGAATCAAAATAGTGAAATTTCGAAAAAAAAAATATAGGTATTTTATGATAACCATCGAAAGGGTTTATCATAAAGATTATTTTTTACTAATTAACATAGCATTTTAAATGAAAGGAATGTCTTATGACGTGATAAAAAGAATAAAGTGATATACAAACTGTAGTACGTATGCATTTCATTTTGAACTCAGTTACAATGCGATTGGCTGAAATTTGTAAAAATAATAATTCGAAAATAGAACACATACATTTTCAAGCGTCTGTACCCCTAGCATGAACTATTATCGAATTCGAATAGTTTGCGAGTGTGAAATGTCAATGTCAACTTTTGTATGGAAACTTATACAGCAGCACCACAAAGTACGTAACGAGAACTAAAAATCAGTACACATTTGACAATGACATTTCGCACTCGAAAACTATTCGAATTCGATATTGGTTCGTGCTAAGGGTACTGTTCTTTTTTTGTGTTTTTCATTTTAGTTAAAAACCGGGTTCTCTTAATACATTTCTACAAAGGGAATCTAAATACGGAAAGATATCTAGAAATACTTAATATTTTAAGAGGTGAGATCAATAATCTTCCTGATGCAAATCGACGAAATTTCATTTTCCAGCAAAATGGGACTCATAACAGTAGGAGAACTGCCGAGTTTCTTAATGAACACTTTCCTTCCTGGATCGGTTCTTATGGACAAATAAGATGGCTGAGATCCCCAGATCTAACCCCACTGGACTTTTTTGTGGGGTTATGTAACAGATTTAGTATACAAGAACCGGTAAGAAGGTGTGCAGGAGTTACAAAATAACTCAGACGTATTCTTATAAATATTCACCACGCGAAGATAATGAAATCGACAGGCAGAGAAAACATTAATAGAGAGAGAATTTGCATTCAACAAATCGGATCACATTTTGAACATTGATACATTTCGTTTTGTATTACTTTTTGTTGAATATTTTTAATAAAATGTGGAATTTTATGACTTTTCTTTCATTTAAAATGCTATGTTACTTAGCATAAAATTATTTTTATGATTAACTCTTTCGATGGTTATCATAAAACATGTACGTGTTTTTTTTTTCGAAAATTCACGAGGCTGATTCCCCTTTTTAGCAGACGATTTTAAAAAAATCTGTGAATGCAGTTCTAGTTATGATTAAAAATAAAATGATGTCTTCTTTCGGTAAAATATCCTATCTTCAATATTTAATATACTTTCCCTTCATGTGAGGTACCCGTGGGACGCCCTGTATTTTATGAAAACGTATTATACATATTAGTCTTCAATAAAAACAACTATATATTGAAGTAGAAGCTATCGGGCTGAAATTTGATGGTGATTGTTGGATCATAATATATATCTTTTAGGTCGCTGTTACTATAGTTCCATTAAGAACTGCATAGTCCCAAAAATCCCAAAAAAAATAATAGTCTTTTCGGTTTTCGTTGAACTTTTTCACTTACCTGTGACAATTTATTTCAAATCTAAGTTAAAAATTTTGGAATTCAAAATGTCAACAAATTACCAATAGTAGTGTGAATGATTCTGCCAGTCTTGATAGTATGCCATCCTTTCTTAATACACAAGTCGCATACATAGCCGAATATGAAGGAACAAATCCACATAGCAATGTACGGGAGGGCGGTGAGAGTACCGGTCGTAGCAATATTGAACTTGAGAACGTCGTGGGAGTACTTAGGGAGGTCTGTCACCATTGTGTAGTAGCCCCAGTCGTGGCCAACCTGAATTTAAAGAAAAACAAATGAAGATGAAAATAGGTTTTCTAATATCGAAACAGTTTCTGTTATACTGCAAATACTTCTAACAAATTTTGGGCCATGATAAAATTAGAGACCAATTCATGTTCATTATTAACTCTAACAAAATCATCTATTGCCCCACTTGATTTGAAATTAATTTAAAATCTTTCATTAGTAAATGAGGCTTGGTGTAATAACAAACATATATTGTGTTGTATTTATTAAATGGACTTTTGAAGACAAATAATTTCTCTGTTAATTAATTAGATTAATTTCGTGTTTTTTTTTTCTTTTGTATCAGGGTAAGTAATTACAACAAATAAGGGATTTCGTTTTTTGCCATATTAAATATCGAAGGGTAACACGATTTAATAAGTATATTTAAGATAGTTTTTAATAAAAAAAAGTCTTAATAATGTGGAATATTTGAAGATAGCAACAAGATGATATTTTACTAATGCAAACCCTGACACAGGTCATTCACACTGAGAACATAGTGAATGCGTTTTATTACCAATTCGTGGGAGTCTCATGGCAAACTTGTCTATTAAATTTAAATGTATCGTCACACGTATAACAATTACATCTAAATATATTTTAAAATATGCACAGACCATGCTTATTCTTAGAGTTATCTTGTGCGTGTTCATAAATTGACTGAAATAAATTAAGAACGAATACAGCTTCAAGATCATTTTATTTTCCTCGCTCATAATATGACGCAAGCAGTCTCTTGATTGTATGAGCAACTAGCTTATTAGCATTGCTAATAATGTCACACGCAATTGCTAAACTATTTATTGATCGTTAAATTTATATAGTACAATTTATTGCTTTATTGAATTTGTTAGTGATTGGATCGGAAACTAATTTGTCTGGTTTTATTTTTCGATTTATGCACATACAATCATTTAACGATTACATTATAAAACTAATCTCTTACTGCTGTTTATTTCTGTAAATAAAATAATGCATTTAAATACAGGTTTGATTCAACCAAAAAAGGTTATTGTTTTCTCATCCTAATATGAACATACTTTACAGAAAAAGTGAATCTTAAAAAATATCAAACGACACGCCTAGATAATACAGCCTTCGCAAAACGTCAGATATGATAAGTATAGTCAATAATTTGATGTTAGAGCTCCGTCGTGTTTCAGAAGACACGTAAAACTGTTGGTCTCGGATACTTTAGCTATTGAGAACTACCATCAATCCAAACGTGAATAATGCGGTGGTTTATGGCTCGAGTTTAACGTGCTTATCTTCTCTTCTGAAGTCTACTTACCCTAAACATCCTTAGTAATGGATGCATTTTCTATAAATATAGGAGGCACACGAGAAAACGGTTACCTGATGGTAAATGATCACCATTGCCCAAAGAATAAACATGCTTATGTGCACCGCAAGTATCACAAACTAGATGCAAGTCTTTAAATAAGAGGAACGCTGCTTTTTCAGAGGTTTTTAGGTGATCAAAGGCATGCATCAGCTAGAATATTCTTTTAGGATCAATGAAACTTCTATGGAATGTTCTTTTTAGTGGAGATAGTATTAATTATAACATTGATGACGATGATCAAAATGTAAATTTATAGAAAAAAGAATTGAGGAATATACTTACAGCTGCACAAACTAATGCCCAGGCTGGCGCTGAACGTAATATAGCCTTCCAAGGTACTGGATCCTTCGTAGTGGTGGTATCAGCTGTGGTCACATTCTTGTTAAGGTAAGACAATTCCGCCTTTGATATGTACGGATGCACGTTTGGTGTACTGTAGCACAAAAGGCTCTGTAATCGAAACGTGGACCTATTTGTAGATAGAGCTAAAGTAAATTTGAACAAATCGGCAGAAAGTTACATATCACCAGAAGTCTAAAGCGATTATAGGACTGCTAGTGTGCTGCTGTTTTTCCCTTATAAGAATAAGCAATCATTCCATTCATTTAAGACGTTCAGTAAAGTCTTAAGTAATAAAGTCCCACTTTTTCAAATTATTAACATAATATAATAATTATTATTTATTTTTTGACCTGTTTAAAATTGTGAAAATTACGATTATCAGCGGAATAAACTTAACCTGCTATAAATCATCCATAATTTAATTTTTTCACGTTAGATTAATTTCAACGACTTACCCATAAGCAAAACCAAAATATTCCGAAGCCGCCAAAGAAGTAGAAGACATAAGCCCAATCTCTTCCATCGGCCAACAGGATACCAGACATGAAGGAGCCAAATATGTTTCCTATCTGAGCGCCCCCAAACACAAGAGCACCTTGGAATGATCGTTCATGGGGTGGAACCCATCTAGCCAACATTATCATCAGTGCTGGCATTGTTGGACCCTGAAGATAGGGGAAAAAAATATGTTTAAGAATATCAAATATAAAGACAGTGTCACTCAGATATGGGAACAATGTAATAGTTCTAAAGATAATAATCATACAATAAAATATCTATGTGCTTTCAAAACTTATGCTCAAATAACATGAACACGCACAATAATTAATCCAGTAAAACTAATACTACAGAGTATGCTTAAAATCCGGTAGTTTTGATTTTTTTGCAGATTTGTTCATGACGATGGCTTAATGAATAATCGAAGTTTGTGTTGTCGAGCACCAAACGCATCTATGTCAAAAAAGTTTCGGCTGTTTTTCAGATTTTGGCGATTATAACCAGATAATAAAGTAATAATGTTTGACAGTACTTTCTCATGCCGTTTCTAAAGTAGACAAAGTAGACTGCTAAGATAAGAAACTAGAATTCTCTCTGTAGGCTCAAAATATTTTTTTTTACTTTCGAAACTAGTCTTTTGGAGTTTTAATTGCTAAAATCGGACAAGAGTCAAAATATTTGCGCTTATTTTTGACATAGTTACTGTAGACGCTCAAGGTCACTTTGGATTATTCATTGGGCCAACATCATAAAGAAGTCTGCAAAAAATTAGAACTACCAAATTTAGCGCAAGCTCTGATATATAAATTTACTGGAAAAACTTTGAAAAGCTTTATTTCGGAGACTATTGGGTCTACAGAGACAGTTCCAGTCTCATAATGTAGCAAATTTAGTTTAGGTACCTACTTTATAGTCTTTATAAGGAAACTTAATAAAAAAGTTTACGTATTGATCCTTTGGGTATAACCCGTAAGTATAATAATAATGATACCATATAATTTTGACAGTTAAATCTTAATACCGTTTTCTAATTTACTATAAACACAATAATTTTCTGCCGGTGGATAAATTAGACATTAACAGGTGGAATGCTTTTGATAACGTGTGTTAAAAACAGATGACTATTCTGCTCATCACCTATTGAAAAACAGCTCTGTTGAATATTTACTTGGTATCAATTTGAGTATCAGTCTATTTTAGATAATTATAACTTATCGACTAATTCCATTTCCCCTTATTATTTGGCTACAAAGTTTTTACAGACACATGGACCGACAGTTTAGGATTTTTTTTTTGAAGTTCAAATGTCATCCAAGCTATTTACTTTTGTCTAAAAGTGTTGCTAAAAGCTATTTACTTTTGACAACCAATATATTCATAGTTTGAATTGTTGAGTCGGAGTCAAATATTTGAATTGTGGTTGAGGAATATACCTACATACTTAATATTATAAATGACAATTTCACAAAGAAAAAAATATTTTCGTAGGCGGTTAGGACGGTCGACATATTGGAGGTTAAGCGTAAGCTCACACCAAAACGAAGAATATGCGTGGTGCAACGTATTCTGAATTCTAACAATGAAATGTGTATTTTTTGTGTACTAAATATAGTCATGTTTTTAGTCGCTGTATTAAAATTTTACGTGCATCGTCGCGTCGCATTTCATTGTGAGCTGACGTTTAAGACAAAAGTATGTAGGTACCAGAAATTTTGTTTACTCCAGACTTATGTGACTATTCTGCATAATTATTGTTCTCTATATAAATGTTAAGTATATTTTATTAAGACTAAAAAAACAACTCAAACCACCTACGTTAATTTTTTAATTAGGAAACTAGGAACTTAAGTATTTTATTTTTACATTAACCTTACCTCTCCCATACCTTGCAGAACCCTAAGAATAAACAACCCAATAGCTCCAGTTGATCTGATCACGATAGGCGTAAGGAAAGTAAATAGGGCAGTGCTCAGTAACCCTACCCCTAAAGTCCATTTACCACCAAATTTCTCAGCAAGATAGCCTCCTGGTACTTGCGTCGCTGCATATCCGTAGTAAAAACCGCTAAGAATAAGACCCTGAGTCTTTTCATCCCAATCAAAAATGGCATACTGAAAATGAAAGGAAAACAATGTATCGCTTGAAATGACTTCTTACCCACGTAATAAAGTTTCTCAATAAACAAATAGGTCATAAATTTATAACACAAATACATACTTAGTTCAAAGAAAATTATTTCCAAAATGGAGAGTACGTTTCAATTTTTCAAATCACTTGCTTAAATAATTGGATTGTTACAATTGAGATTAGATACCAACTGAAATAATACAATAGTTATGCAAAGAAACCAAAATGTCTTAATACAAAATACAACATTTTACAGACGGAATGTTGATTTTTTTTTCATTGGAAAGAAAATAAACTTACGGGCTTCTCCAAGGACATCGCCGTGGTAGAATTGAGAATCGGATCATTAGGACATGTGTCCTCATCGAAGGAGCCGGCCAAGCTCGCGTTAGCAGCCTTAGTCCGGTTCACCATCTGTGTAATGGCCAGGTTCAGGCAGACTCTCATGGTGTATGCATTGCAAACTCCCAACAGGCCCATCACTCCGAGAATATAACGCTGTGGGATGACACAACCTGTAAAAGATGGTAAATACATAAGTGGTGTATAAAACGCAAATATATTTGAAATCCCAGATGTGTCATCGTGATCATCATCAATAACATATTAATGTCCCCACTGCTGAGGAATAGGCTTTACATATGGATCGAAAAGGGAGAATTGACATGACACGAGATTGCCAGTGCAGATTGGTAGTTGTTAACGACTAAAGGGACCAATGCCACCTTAGACTTGGAAAAACTCAAGGTGAAGTCATTTTAAGCTCCGCCAATTCTATGCGTTTTTGGTCACGTGATAATAGATCAAAAATACTTTTCTGTTTCATGATTTTAAGTGTTATTATCAACCAATTTTTTTGTCAGAATAGTGAAATCCAATAATTGGAACTCTATTTTCATAGTGTCTTATAGCCTATTGCAAACCGCATGTGCTAGCCACTACACCATTGACAACCTCAACACTAATCAGATGTCAATTAAACCTAATACAACTCAAGTAAGAACACCAACTTCACTATGACAATCAATGTTAGGTTAAGGTTTAAAAACATTTTGAAACAATACAATTTTAAAGTTAGTGTTTGAAGATTCAAATATGTACTTACTTTAAAATTTATTTATTTTTATCCTGGCTTAGCTTTAGATTACAGAGTTGTAACAAAGAATAACTTTTTCGAATATAGAGATTTCTGAACTAAAATATTATATGGATGCTAACAGTCCAACAATAAACAAGAACAATACCAGTACAAGGACCGGTTTCTTTCGCAATATTACCTCGCAAGCTGGCGCCGGGGACATCTGGGCCCTATACTGCCAATACAAGATTTACAATGTACTTTCTATGAAATAATGTATGTTATTTGTTCCAATCGTAACATCTAAGAGATATAGAGCATAGCGGTTTTCCCTCTATAATTGGAGTGCCAGTCTGGAAAAGTAGCCCCCATCACCCTACAGAAGAATACTCAATAACTAAAATAACCACTAATGTCTAACCTCTATTGATGGAATCTTATATAAATTAGATAAATATTTGTTTGAACGTCATGGCGCTAACACACAATTTAGAAAATTTAAAGAGTAAACCAAATTCAATAATAGGTATCACTGACAAAAAACTCCTTGCGAAAAATATGCCCAACACTACTTAAGCGCCTTTCATATCAAAAAACTAAATTTATAAATAAGGCAAAGCAAAATTTTTTTTACACTATTTAATGAATTGTTTTCAGTTCTCCTTGTTTGTAAAATCTTCATGTTTAACCTAAATTGCATCCTCGATTAATGTCAATATACAATTCAATGAACTTATCTCTAGACATGGCCGTTTTTGGTTTTGAACGCAAACGGATATTTATCGGATTTCAGATTTCAAAATCGATTTTAAAATCCGTTTTTAGATATCCGATTTCAGATGTGCTGAACTTGACCAATTCACTAGTTTGTGTTATGATTTGGTTTTATTAGCTAACGACAATCACAAACAATTAATTGTAGGAAGCAAGGATACTCGTAGATATTCGCGATTTTCCTTCATGCTTTAAATCTAGGCTTAGGACTAGCAGAAAAGTTATGATTACGGTTAAGAGTAAAACTTTTGCGGCGCATTTAAAAATCGGCTTTTATACAATGATTTCTTTTTACATATTTTTTAGTATTTTTATTTGTTATTCTGTTTGTTTTTATTATTTTTCAAACCATTTACAAAATCAAACCTAATTACTTCAGGTTAGCGTCCAAAAATGTAAGTTGCTCGACTTTTGATGTTTTTAGACGACATATCTTTTCAGTGATAAATAATCCCGCCTCAGAGAACAGCAATAGATTTCCGTAAACAGCAAATCGAAATCGGAGTTCCGAGCACGAAATCTGACTTCCGAAAACGAAAGCACGAATTTCGAATCCGATTTAGATTTGGATACTTGTGGTATTTGGTTTTGGTTCGGTTAGATTTCTGAAATCGGATTTTCTTGTTGAGAAATCGTTCGGTATCGATTTGTGTTTGAAATCGGATTTTGGATTCGTTTTGATATATCGGACGCATGCCTACTTATCTCGCAAAATACAATATGTCATTTAGATATTAAAAAACATAGTGATATCACATTTATCAATTTCAAAACGTAAACAACATCATTCAATTCTACTTATTATTCGTCATTTGCATCTGATTCACAAGCAGAAATAATTTCAATGTAATGATTTATGTACGTACAAACATTTTGCACAGCCATATGCGAGTATGACACAAAGTGTTCAATGACCCCAGCCAATCTCTTAACTCAACACAGGAACTGCACTATAATATTATAGTCTAAGCTATGAGAAAGACTTGTATAAGGGAGAACAGACCCGTTTTGTTTTAAACAGTTTGCTATTGAAAGATGGAGTAGTACTGTTATAAGAAAAAACACAGAAGCAAAGATGAGACGTCGCGGGACTCGCACGACGTCTGGCAATTAAGACACATCTATTAAACGTATTTATATATTAAAATAATAACTAATAAGTCAGATGAAAGAGAGACAATGTATTTTTAATTAAAAAAGTCTCTGAAATAAAACTTTCAACGACTGAAAATTTTAAAGGGTTAAGAAATACAGTAAGAACTTGTAATTTAAAAATTTATTCACCCAAATCTTTGCTTACTCTTTGAGTGATTTTGGACCAACGGATATTTCCGTTAGTCCAAAATCGAACTTGTTTTGGTCAAATCATTGTCTACAAATATAATTATCGGGTTTCCTCTATCTTCCTATCTTCTATCTATTCCTAAATGTTATTGCTCCGAAAAAATATGAACTTCTCCACATATGACAGGGTGAGATTCACGAAGGACAAGTTTTAATTCATTTAGGTTTAGATTATATATGGATTTACTTTTATGTGGGCATTAAAAGGCAAAGAAACATATTCAATATTATAGTAGGTATAGTAAATTAGCATTCACTATTATTAACATAAGACTTTAAAACCATACGTAAGAAAGTTAAAGGAAAAAAATATGTTTTTAACATTCATTACTAACCTTTAATAAGAATTATGTAAATACTTATCTAACGGAAACACGGTGAATGAACAATTACAGTCTTTGTTGCTATTATTATAAGAATAATAGATAACGTGACCGTGATACGTCAAAGCAAGGTTATTGGGTCAGAATGACGTCACTGTGGTATGGATCGCGCAACAGAATCGGTCAATGGAAAGCGTGTGCCCATAGGTACTAGCTTTAGTTTATAATGAATGGAGAGATTTTGTTTATAATTTTTCAATTCATAACTTTTGTTTTTAAAGTGTTTCTTTTAGGTATACACTGGAGAGCAATGAATCCGGGTCTCGCAAATTAAGAATGCAGGCTTAATGAAATAAATTATGTTTAATAGACAATAGCCTAGTTGACTCATGTCGAATTGTATTAAATAAATGTTCATTTCTTAAAGTATTTGGTCTAAGGAACCTAAATATATCGATTTCACTTCATAAAAGCAGAAGATTGCTGTAGAAATTTAATTAAAAAAAAATGTCTATATTTTTTAAACACTAAAAACGCTGTTCGCCACATCCACCATGATTGTGACGTCTCTTGTTGTAGTAAACAACGAAATGTCATTCGCATGTTACTGTGGGTGGATTCTTTTGTCTGACTAAATTTATCTTAAAACACTTTTAACTTTAGAAACGTTTCCGTTCACTGTTTTTTTTGACAAAACTAATTATAGATGCCGGCTTTGTGAAAGCAGAAAGCACAAATCTGCCAAGAATTGACGCATTGATGGTTGGTGATTTTTTTGCACTAAACCCCGATTTCTGCTCTGGGGAGCAGAGAAACGACAAGGCATCTATGTAAGTACAGTGCATTTAGTATTACAATGTAATAATAAACATAAAACTGATACAACATATGAATAAGTGTAATAAAGTTGCGTAGGTTAATTTCTTTCGGCACTTTAATCCACAACTTTCCTAGAGTCTTCAAGGATGTGTTTTTATATTCCCGTATAGTACAATAATGATAATAACTTTACTTTTCGTGGTATTTATTAGAAATCATGTTTTTTTTAATTATAAACTCAGATAAGTTATTTTCTACGTGCTCACGAGTTTTTGTTTACTACAGGTTGACGTCATAGCATAGATAATCTATAGACTAAAATGGCCGACAGCATTTTTGTATGCCCATGAAAAGTTTATTTTAAAATTAAAAATTTGTAGCTTTCTAGGTCTCAAAAAAAATACAATAATTTTTTTCGGTCTAATAGAACATTTATTAACCATTTAAAACCTTTTTCCAAAAAGGGTCATCTAGCCTATTAAATACTCCTTAAATAAATAAAATTTATGATTCGCCATACATAAAGAAGAAAACTGGTTGATCCCGCCGTTACGATTACATTACGATTTTCTTGAATTTTAATACTTCGTGTTACCTCCTCGTGCTTCCATTACTGCATTTACCCGATTTGGCATGCTGTACACCAAGTTTCTTTTACGATTTTGGGGAATATTCTCCCTTTTTACCCTGTTTTTAGCGAGTTTGAGAGAGAAAAACAAGGTAACCTCATAAAATCCCGTAAATAACTTATATTACTATAATGTAAGTGACCATGAAAGTTTAAAACAAAAATATTTTCCCATTCCTCTATGAGAGCAATTTAAGCATAATTGAGGGAGGGTTTCGTTGTGTTACGCATCTCCCTAGCTCGTCCCAAGTATGCTCATTCGGGTTGATATCCGGGCTACGTGATGGCCACTCCATACGAGTAACGTTCATCTCTTGAAGGTAGTCATTCACAATCCAACCTGTATGAGGTCGGGCATTTTCATACATAAAAATAGCATACTGAACCAAATTGACCGTAAATAGATCAACGTGTTCATTCAAGATTTCTTCCACATAACTTTCGCTACTTAAAACCCCGTTTTTTATAAACTCCAGATCTGTGAAACTCTCAGATTAGAAACAAAGCAAAAACAAATGCAGTAATTTTGTAGTTCTAACTTCGCAAGTC